CTCACAGTTACTGTTTTTAAGCCAAGTCTGGATTTTTGCTTTGGGGGACTTTAGTTTTGAGATTGAGATTTATTTTACAACTTGGAGATATTAAGATGTGTTGAGCTTTCAGATCGTGCTGAGCATCTTTAAAGAAGGGACAGTACATTGAGCTTTTGCATTTTCAGCTTTACTCAGAGTGTGTACAGTTGGTTGCGGTGTTGGGCAAACAAACAGACCTGCCAAACATTTCAAGGTTTTTCCAGCTTCACAAGCTGGATGCTGTGTTAATGAAACAGAGGAGGACATTTTCTTTGATTCTAGTTTAAAGCTAATTCTAAAACTTTATTACATACACTGGGAAACCCCCCAAAAGAAGAAATGTGACTCAACTTTATTGTAATATTTGCTTTATTGTGGTGGTCTGGAATCAAACCCACAATGTATTTCTGGCGTGTCTGTATATTATTTTGTTACAGTGGTATTGATACAAATACGGACAGAAGATTATTAACACTCTGTTGTTTAGATCAGGGCTTTTCAACCAGTTGTATGGTTACCACCTGTGGTACATTGGCACCTGGCAGGTGGTACGTGACCATCCTAGAAAAAGTAGCGGGGGAGGGGAATGAGCTGAACAGGTGGCAGCACCGCACAACCCTGAGCGAGAGACGGCTGGAGCTGCAGGGCTGTCAGGGCTCAGCGGAAGCGCCAGGATCAGCGCCAGGCTCCAGCTGGAGCTCGGTGCTGATCCTGGTGCTTCTGCTGAGCCCAGAAGAAGCGCCGATCAGCTGGAATGTTGCAGCATCTCCAGGGTCTTGTGATTTACATTCAGATGCTTGGCAACTGATTCATATTTATGACAGTCACAGTGTCCCAGGGTCATGTGAAGTGACCAAAACCTGCTGCAACCACCCAGCAGNGGCGTAGTGAACAGAGGAACATTAGAATAGAATAGAGCTGAAAGAGACCTTGGAGGTCTTCTAATCCAGCCCCCCCCCCCCACTTAAGCAGGAGACCTATAATACAATTTCAGACAAGTGACTGTCCAATCTCTTCTTAAAAACCACCAGTGATGGAGTGCCCACGATTTCTGGAGGCAAGCAGTTCCACTGGTTAATTGTCCTCACTGTCAGGAAGTTTCTCCTTAATTCCAGGTTATTTCTGATCAGTTTCCAACCATTGTTTCTCGTCCTTCCCTCTGGAGCTTTGGTGAATAATGTGACCCCCTCTTCTTTGTGGCAGCCCCTTAAATACTGGAATACTGCTATCATGTCTCCTCTATTTCTTCTTTCTTTCTTCAAGTCCCGTAGCCATTTTTTGTATGTTTTAGTCTCCAGGCTTTTGATCATCTTAATTGCTCTTCTCTGAATTTTTTCCAAACTCTCAACATCTTCTTTTGTGATATGGTGACCAAAATTGGCTGCAGTATTCCAGGTGTGGTCTTACGAGTGTTTTATAAAGCGGTACTAATATCTCGTGTGATCTTGATTCTATGCCTCTGTTTATACAGCCCAGGATTGTATCAGCTTTTTTGGCGGCTGCTACACACGGCTGGTTCATGGTTAAGTGATTGTCCACTAGGACTCCAAGGTCCCTCTTACAGTTACTGTTTTTAAGCCAAGTCTGGATTTTTGCTTTGGGGGACTTTAGTTTTGAGATTGAGATTTATTTTACAGCTTGGAGATATTAAGATGTGTTGAGCTTTCAGATCATGCTGAGCATCTTTAAAGAAGGGACAGTACGTTGAGCTTTTGCATTTTCAGCTTTACTCAGAGTGTGTACAGTTGGTTGTGGTGTTGGGCAAACAAACAGACCTGCCAAACATTTCAAGGTTTTTCCAGCTTCACAAGCTGGATGCTGTGTTAATGAAACAGAGGAGGACATTTTCTTTGATTCTAGTTTAAAGCTAATTCCTAAAATTTTATTACATACACTGGGAAACCCCCCAAAAGAAGAAATGTGATTCGACTTTATTGTAATATTTGCTTTATTGTGGTGATCTAGAATCAAACCCACAATGTATTTCTGGCGTTTCTGTATATTATTTTGTTACAGTGGTATTGATACAAATACGGATAGAAGATTATTAACACTCTGTTGTTTAGATCAGGGCTTTTCAACCAGTGGTATGGGTACCATCTGTGATACATTGGCACTTGGCAGGTGGTACGTGACCATCCTAGAAAAGTGGTAGCGGGGGAGGGGAATGAGCTGAACCGGTGGCAGCACCGCACAAGCCTGAGCGAGAGACGGCTGGAGCTGCAGGGCTGTCAGGGCTCAGCGGAAGCACCAGGATCAGCACCAGGCTCCAGCTGGAGCTCGGCGCTGATCCTGGCACTTCTGCTGAGCCCAGAAGAAGCGCCGTTCAGCTGGAATGTTGCAGCCTCTCCAGGGTCTTCTGATTTACATTCAGATGCTTGGCAACTGATTCATATTTATGACAGTCACAGTGTCCCAGGGTCATGTGAAGTGACCAAAACCTGCTGCAACCACCCAGCAGACAGGGGGGGGAATAAAAACCAAACACCCCCCACCCCACCCCCGCTGCCAATCCTCAACAGAAATGCTCACAACAATGAAAACCTCAGATAGGAGGAAGAGCGCCGCCAGGCGGGCAGGCAGGTGTCTTGCTCAGCTGTGGCTTGGGGGCACTTTTTTCAGTGCCATTCTAACTTCAAACAGTCACTAAGTGAACTGTTGTAAGTCGAGGACTACCTGTACTTTATCACTTTTTTCCTTTTTCTTTTTTTTGGTCCTCAAGTTTTTGACACCTTGCTAGGCGACTGGTGGTACTCGGATGTTGCCATATCCTAAAAGTGGTACAATGGGTGAAAAGGTTGAAAAGCCCTGGTTTAGATAACTTAGTCCTTTAAAGACAAAATAGTTTACATCAGTACTGATTATGAACCACTTCTTTTTGCTGATAAGCATAAGGTTGTTTAAATTTTATATCTACAGCTAAATGTGGCATTAATAGACAACAACAAAATAATAAAAAAGTTAATGATAATTCTACTTTAAGCTTGATACTTTATTCTAAGGTCTTAACTGTATTCCTACTTATAGTTTACGCATGTAGAAAAGGAAAAAAGGAAACAAAAGCAAATGAACGACGACGACAAAACCTCAAAAGACTCTGGTTTCTCAAGTTGTTCTTTTTTGTGTCAACTACTAGCCTCCAGTTATCTTTAAGCATTTAAGCCCTCTTGGAAACCATGCTGTAAATGTTTGTATTTGCCATGTTCTGTAGTAAACCTTTCAAAAAGACCCTAATCAAGGAACTACTGTGGGAAGAATCCAGAGAAAGAAATATTTTGGGAAATATTAAAAAGGTAGAATATATTTCCCCAAAGGAATAATGGAGAAGATCTTTAAAAAGGCGGAAATCTCCCCTCACCCCTTCAGCCCAGCTTTTAGAAATACAAATTCCATAATCCTTTCAGGAAGATTGGAGCCTTCCAGCTAGAAACTGAAGAAAGTAGTAAGACAAAGACCTTTAAAATCTACATACCCCCACCCAAACTCTAAGACAGGACATAATAGGATTAACCCACCAATACCAAAAGGGCACACTCAGACTCAGGTCAAAGTACATGACACAGGAAATACAAAGCCTCAAACAGGAAGAACTCCAAACAAAAGTCAAAAAGGTATAAAAACCCACCACTCTGCTCCATGTGGTCAGTTGTTTTTTTTCAGAATCATCTTTCTGTCTGGCTCTCCTCTTCAATAAACTACAACCTTCTTTATAAAGCAGTCTCCATGTTTGTTTATTCCCTGCTTGGACTGGACCCTGATGAAGATTTTTCTTTCAACACTACCAATTCAGAAAAACAATCAAACACTAAAAAGCAGCCTAATCAAGGAATTATCAAGAGGAAAACAACACTCCCATCAGCTCCGACAGGGCAAGATATTGTATCTAAACAAAGACCAAACCCCACTCTCTTCTACCACTAATATATGTTACTGTCATGGTTCCGAAAGAAGAAGCTTTTCAAAAAACTTTGAGGCCTTGTTTACCTTAAAGAATCCTTTTATTGCTACATAGCTTCGGCATGTACATAATGAAGCCAAAAACTGAATTCTCCTTCCCCCAATCACCTGTAACAAAGCATAACTCACTCCTTCATTTAACAGTCATCAATCACGTTCTCCAATTAGTTTGAAGTGTGAATTTTCCCTCCCGTATCTCCTCTGGTTACAATTAACCTTGAAAAATACTGTACTGAAATATTGTTATGGCTAACTATCCCCCGAGTACATACTTTCCCCCCTCCCTTCAAACATTGTCTGACTTTAACTCTAAAAGTGATACACAGGTTAAATAAAACATGTCTGCTTCTTCATATATTGTCAAGCAAGAACATCCGATGTTAGCAGCCTTGACAGTTACTTAGTTAAGTCAATGTCTGCCAACAAGCAATGAAGCTCAGAGAGCACCAAGGACCCAAACAGGGAAGACTTTTTCTCCAGATTTGTAGAATTGCTAAGGACTTTTTCTACCTACCTGTACCTGCTTTTCTGCTTAACTAGCCATCTTTCCATCCTTTCTTATTAGCCTGGGGATCTGAGATTTTGCCTGTGACCTATTTTTCCCTTCTGTTGTATGGAATGTACTTGAAAACTAAATTTCTTGCTCTTTTCCTTTTTAGTAACAGGTGAAAGCCTTAACATTCATTACCGAATTTGAACTACTTTCCAACTGGTTCTAGCTGCCTTTAGGAGATATCTGGAAGCAGCAGGTATGATTGATACATCCCCTGTATTTGTAAAAATCGCATTTCTAGAAAGCAATACTGAGTCATTTATAAACATTGTGCCATTCATTTCCTGCACCGCATTAGTTGTGTACTGATGTAGACATTTCTTAAAATGCAATTCTATATATGTCAGATGAAAGAGGAAATATGTTGAAAGAGATTTGGTCCCACCTTTAGGATTACAGCCTCAAATTCAGCTTATTCATTGCTACTCAGAAGGAAGCCCAGAGGCCTTGTAAGAGGGTTTGACTTCTTCTATCTCCCTCTGGTAGCTTCACCTTCTTTGAAGACCTTTTGCAAAAGGACCTTCATGCTCTCCTTGGACTGAGCTCCTTTTTTCCTCCCAACTAGAAAATAGATCACTGGATTAATGCTGCTGTTTAGGCAGGAAAACAGAACAATACATGTCTCCCAGTACGGTATTTCTGGATCAACTTCAATATTAAAAAAATGAATAATCACCACAAAGAGATATAACGGAAAAGCAAGGATGAGGAAACAGAGCAGAGTGATTAAAATCATCAGTAAAAGCCAACCCTGATTCTTCTGATTCGATTTAAAACACACCTTGATGAAAAGGACCCCAGTGGAAAGTGAGATCAGCGGAAGGCAAACTATAGCAGTCACAAGGAAATGGAGTACGGACAGTCCGTCATTTACAATGACATTTGTTAAAGTCATAATCTTCATAATTCCAGTCAGGAGTAAAGAAGCAATCCACAGGAGGACACACACCGTGGAGGACAAATGTTTTGGCCGGGAACAGTGATGCCAGATTGGGAAGAGGACAGCCACACACCGGTCAATGCTGATGGCCGTCAAAAGGAACTGACTGTTGATATGCATCATTTGGAAGAAAAAGATACAGATGATGAGGAAAATTGGGCTATCTTCAAAGTCGATAAATCCATATATATCATATATAACTGTAGACATGAGGAACCCAAAGTCTGTGATGGCCAAGTTAAGGAGGAATGTGGTGAAACAGTTTCTCTTCATCTGGAAGCCAAGTAGCCAGATGATGTAGCCATTGCCCACAAATCCAAAACAGCAGGTAATTAAAGTAATGCCTCTCAAGGCAAGCCATCCTAAAACAGAAGGGGTGATCCCTTCTGTATATTCATGTGAAGCCATGGTACCGTTATACCCATAATAGTTCTCTGTAGCATCCAGATCTCCCAGGCTGGAATTCATCACTAAGCTTTTGTAATCCTCTGATTATCTTTTTGAGTGGGAGCTCCTATTAGAAGACAATAAAGAAAAGGGAGTAAAGTCATTCCAGTCTCCCCAATCAGTGGTCCCCAACCTTTCCAGCTCACTGGACCAGTGGAGGCAGTAGCAGTGATTGGGGGAGAGGTGGATGGTTCTGCACTCATACACTCACCCACCACGTTCCCGGTCCGGTTCCTAATGGGCCACAGACAGGCAACACGCGAGGGACCAGGGATTGAGAGTCCCTGTCCTAAATAATAGTAATATTATTGTCGCATCCATTATCTAAGGGGCTGCCACAAAGAAGAGGGAGTCAAGCTATCCTCCAAAGCCCCCGAGGGCAGGTAAGAAGCAATGGATTGTAACTTATCAAGGAAAGAACTAACTTGGAAGCAGGAGTTTCCTGACAGTTACAACAATAAACAGGTGGAACGGAAGCTGTGGGTGCTCCCTCACTGGAGGTTTTTTAAGAAGAGATTGGACATTTATTTATCTGGAATGGTACAGGATCTCCTGCTTGATTAGGGAGTTGGACTTGATGACCTCCAAAGTCTTTCCAACTCTGTTATTCTGTTGTTTTACTTGCCCTGTGAATAGTTTGAGAGATTTGGCTGCAGTAATGAGCCAACTCCTTGAACTGTTTGTGGCCAAACCTAATGCAGAAAAAAAAATACTCATGTGTTGCTCCATCCATGCTTCTCAATAAATATCTTAAAATGTATTTGGTATTGGATTGGAAGGTTTCACTGTCCTGAAGTTCAGCAATGTCCTCTTCTGCCCCTTCACCACCGTTGCACTGTGACAGTCAAAATCCCCATGTGAGCCACAAAGCAAAAATGGGCAATTATGTAAGGAAGCACTTTCCCCAATGCTTGTTCTTGTTACAGTGATATGGTGGCTGGAGCATAAGAGAAATAATACGAGATAATCATAGGAAAATATATCTATGACCTGAAACTAGGAGTTAGGAGATGGTATGGAGGAAAAATTCCTGCTAAGGGAGAAATGGGCAGCTTACACATTTGGTAGAGTTACAGATACTTCCTAAAAAGGGAAAATACACATACACACCCCATTTTGGTCTACTTAAGTAACGGAATAACAATAACAGAGTTGGAAGAGACCTTGGAGGTCTTCTAGTTCAACCCTCTGTTCAAGCAGGGAACCCTATATCATTTCAGACAAGTGGCTGTCCAATCTCTTCTTAAAAGCCTCCAGAGATGAAGCACCCACATCCTCTGAAGGATGTTCTCATTGTAAGGAAATTTCTCCTTAGATCTAGATTAGTTCTCTCCTTGATTAGTTTCCATCCGTTGCTTCTTGTCCTGCCTTCTGCTGCTTTGGAGAATAGCTTGACTCCCTCTTCTTTGTGAAATATTGAAACACTGCTATCATGTCACCCTTAGTGCTTGTTTTCACTCAAGGTTGCTTCTCTCCTTCATTAGTTAAGTACAGAAGAGTTCCTGTGTCGTTGTGTCCAAAGTTTCTGGGATTAACCAGAACTTTCCCACTTGATATACTGTACAAATAAACAAGAAAAATTTTTCATACAGAACTGAAAAGCCAAAACCGATGAAAAGCAATTATGATTTATCTTATTTTATTTTATCTTATTTATCTTATTCCCTTGATCTTGGATTGTAAACAGTTTGTTTGCTTCTGACATACTGTCAGGATGGATAAAAACAGGTAGGAAAATGAGTCAAAAGCAGGAAACCTCAACTGAGACTGATATGACAGTCAACCTATAAATATCAGGTATAAAAATACACAGCTGCTGAAGAAATGGCTATTACTCTATTTATGTATCACTGGCTCTAATTAAACCTTCCAAAATTATAACGTACCTGAAAGGGATGGTCCAAACTCTTCAAAGTTGGTGAGTAGAAAATTATTGTGCCACAGTTGGGGGCTGTAGTGACTGGGGATGGCAGGACCTACAAGCAGAATATCCAGTGTAGTTCATCAACAGAAAGGAAGTCCACCCACCCTATCTTGATTTACAAGGTTCAAAGAATTGTCTGAGGATTTGGATCTACCTGGAAGTAGAGCTTGAGCAGAAATCTTCAAAGGTGTTTTTATATAAAGCACAGGGTTGAGTGCCAGCATAGCAGGTGAGGATCAGTCTCCTGCAGAAAACATGGAGAGCTTTTGCTTCTGGCATGAAAAAGAAACTCTAAAAGATCCACACATATTTTGTGTCCGGTCTAATCAGAATCTAGCACCATGTGATACAAGATGTGGTCCTCGGTTGTTTAAGATGATCGCCAACAGTCAGTGTAGAAGAGAGATAATTTCCTTGAGTCTGCTAGGGCAAGAGAACCAAAAGCCATGTCAGACAGAGTTAAATTTTGAAGGACTGTTCAGCAAATGTAGCTTCTCCTTATAAAGAAAGCTTTTTGGGAACAGGGGAAATGGTTTGCCTTCATCTGTCCCAGGGGAAATGGTTCTCCAGATTATATTTCTTTCAAGATGCTCTGATTAAGTAGACTATTTGCGGATTGATGCGAGAAGACCAAAGAACAAAACTTCACTGACAGTTGGATCTCTCAGCTGATAAAGGGGACTTTGGCCACTGAGACAAAGATCCAGCTGATTGCAGTCATTCAAGTGTACAGTCTGTTCTTTTCTTTTTGATACTATTTTCTGCTTTCCCCTCTTCGGTTATTAGAAATATGAGGATGGGGATAATGAAGCTTAACGTCTTTGCCTGGGGATGCCTTTCTGACCATCTCCCAAAGGTTCTTTTCCAAAAGGCAACTGGACTTTTTTTCTTTGAAAACGTTTTGCTTGTCAGCCAAGAAGCTTCTTCAGTTCTTCTTCAGAACTGAGCTTGACAGCCGAGGCTCACGGACACTCTCCTTATTCTATAGTTGGTGATTATCTTGCGAAAACAAGAACCAGATGGTCTTATCGCTTGGGGCTCACATTGATTGTGCGAGATAAAGAATATATCTCATTGTGTGAGACTTCCAACAAGATTTGCTTACCCATCCCAGAACAGAAAGAATCCAAACTCACAGAATCTTCAGAAGCAACCAGGCCTGGATCCAAACAAAGGCAGGATGGAATATTTATAGTAGTAGTAGTAGTAGTAGTAGTAGTAGTAGTAGTAGTAGTAGTAGCAGTAGTAGCAGTAGTAGTAGTAATAATAATAATAATAATAATAATAATAATAATAATAATAATAATAATAATAATAATAATAAAGTTGGAAGGGACCTTGGAGGTCATTGAGTCCAACCCCCTGCTCAGGCAGAAAACCCTATACCATTTCAGACAAATGGCTGTCCAGTCTCTTCTTAAAAACTTCCAGTCTTGGAGCATTCACCGCTTCTGGAGGCAGGTTGTTCCACTGGTTAATTGTTCTAACTGTCAGGAAGTTTCTTCTTCATTCTAGGTTGCTTCTCTCCTTGATTAATTTCCATCCGTTGCTTCTTGTCCTGCCTTCAGGCACTTTGGAGAATAGTTTGACTCCCTCTTCTTTGGGGCAGCCCCTGAGATATTGGAACATGGCTATCATGTCCCCCCTCGTCCTTCTCTTCGTTAAACTAGACATTTCATTGTGAACTATTCCAGAAAGCTGCAAAGTGTATTTATCAAGCTCCTGAACCAACTGCTGGCCAACTGGTGTTATAGTGTTTCAGTCACATTTCTTTCAGGAAGAACATAGCAGTGTTCCAATATCTCAGGGGCTGCCCCAAAGAAGAGGGAGTCAAGCTATTCTCCAAAGCGCC